GTGACAATTGTCATAATCGTTATTTTATAAGTTTTTTGATTTTTTTTGAAGAAAATAGGTTAAAATAAGTATTAATAACATGTGTAAATATAAATTTAGTGAAGATGTACCAAAGAAAAGTGACAATTGTCATAATCGTTATTTTTGAATTTTTTTGACGACAATATGTTAAAATAAGTATTAATAACATGTTTAAATAAAAATTTAGTGATAGAAAATTGACAATTGTCATAATCGTTATTTTTAAAGTTTTTTGAATTTTTTTGAATAAAATATGTTAAAATAAGTATTAAAAACATGTTTAAATAAAAATTTAGTGAAGATGTACCATAGAAAGTGACAATTGTCATAATCGTTATTTTATACGTTTTTTGAATCTTTTTGAAGAAAATAGGTTAAAATAAGTATTAATAACATGTGTAAATATAAATTTAGTGAAGATGTACCAATGAAAAGTGACAATTGTCATAATCGCTATTTTTAAAGTTTTTTGAATTTTTTTGACGAAAATATGTTAAAATAAGTATTAATAACATGTGTAAATATAAATTTAGTGAAGATGTACGAAAGAAAAGTGACAATTGTCATAATCGTTATTTTTAAAGTTTTTTGAATTTTTTTGACGACAATATGTTAAAATAAGTATTAATAACATGTTTAAATAAAAATTTAGTGAAGATGTACCATAGAAAATTGACAATTGTCATAATCGTTATTTTTAAAGTTTTTTGAATTTTTTTGAAGAAAATATGTTAAAATAAGTATTAAAAACATGTTTAAATAAAAATTTAGTGAAGATGTACCATAGAAAAGTGACAATTGTCATAATCGTTATTTTTAAAGTTTTTTGAATTTTTTTGAAGAAAATATGTTAAAATAAGTATTAATAACATGTGTAAATATAAATTTAGTGAAGATGTACCATAGAAAAGTGACAATTGTCATAATCGTTATTTTTAAAGTTTTTTGAATTTTTTTGACGAAAATATGTTAAAATAAGTATTAATAACATGTGTAAATATAAATTTAGTGAAGATGTACCAATGAAAACTGACAATTGTCATAATCGCTATTTTTGAATTTTTTTGACGAAAATATGTTAAAATAAGTAATAATAACATGTGTAAATATAAATTTAGTGAAGATGTACCATAGAAAAGTGACAATTGTCATAATCGTTATTTTATACGTTTTTTGAATTTTTTTAAAGAAAATAGGTTAAAATAAGTATTAATAACATGTGTAAATATAAATTTAGTGAAGATGTACCAATGAAAAGTGACAATTGTCATAATCGCTATTTTTAAAGTTTTTTGAATTTTTTTGACGAAAATATGTTAAAATAAGTATTAATAACATGTGTAAATATAAATTTAGTGAAGATGTACCATAGAAAAGTGACAATTGTCATAATCGTTATTTTTAAAGTTTTTTGAATTTTTTTGACGAAAATATGTTAAAATAAGTATTAATAACATGTGTAAATATAAATTTAGTGAAGATGTACCAAAGAAAAGTGACAATTTTCATAATCGTTATTTTTAAAGCTTTTTGAATTTTTTTGACGACAATATGTTAAAATAAGTATTAATAACATGTTTAAATAAAAATTTAGTGAAGATGTACCATAGAAAATTGACAATTGTCATAATCGTTATTTTTAAAGTTTTTTGAATTTTTTTGAAGAAAATATGTTAAAATAAGTATTAAAAACATGTTTAAATAAAAATTTAGTGAAGATGTACCATAGAAAAGTGACAATTGTCATAATCGTTATTTTTAAAGTTTTTTGAATTTTTTTGAAGAAAATATGTTAAAATAAGTATTAAAAACATGTTTAAATAAAAATTTAGTGAAGATGTACCATAGAAAAGTGACAATTGTCATAATCGCTATTTTTAAAGTTTTTTGAATTTTTTTGACGAAAATATGTTAAAATAAGTATTAATAACATGTGTAAATATAAATTTAGTGAAGATGTACCAATGAAAACTGACAATTGTCATAATCGCTATTTTTAAAGTTTTTTGAATTTTTTTGACGAAAATATGTTAAAATAAGTAATAATAACATGTGTAAATATAAATTTAGTGAAGATGTACCAATGAAAAGTGACATTTGTCATAATCGTTTATTTTAAAGTTTTTTGAATTTTTTTGAAGAAAATATGTTAAAATAAGTATTAATAACATGTGTAAATATAAATTTAGTGAAGATGTACCAATGAAAAGTGACATTTGTCATAATTGTTATTTTTAAGTTTTTTGATTTTTTTTGAAGAAAATATGTTAAAATAAATATTAAAAACATGTTTAAATAAAAATTTAGTGAAGATGTACCATAGAAAAGTGACAATTGTCATAATCGTTATTTTTAGTTTTTGAATTTTTTTGACGAAAATATGTTAAAATAAGTATTAATAACATGTGTAAATATAAATTTAGTGAAGATGTACCAATGAAAAGTGACAATTGTCATAATCGTTATTTTTAAAGTTTTTTGAATTTTATTGACAAAGATATTTTAAAATAAGTATTGATAACATGTTTAAATAGAAATTTAGTGAAGATGTACTCTATATAAGCGACAATTGTCATAATCGTTATTTTTAAAGTTTTTTGATTTTTTTTGACGAAAATAGTTAACTTGCATCGATATTGATTTTAAAATAGAAAAAATAGTTTACCCAAATTTTAAGCAAGATTGTCTGGTGAAAATTGGTAAAAAAATAATAATTTCTAACTTAGGATTAGATATTATGATATAAATTTTGCATATTAATTTCTGACCCGATGAACAAATGTAATAAAATGCCAATTTGCTCCTGTTATTGGGGAAGAATCTATTATTACCATATGTTTTTCTATAGCATATACTCAGGCAATTTTAATTTTACAATCTATATTTTTACCCATTTACATCAAAGAAATTTTAAAAATAACGACTATGACAATTGTCACTTTTCTATAGTACATCTTCACTAAATTTTTATTTAACATGTTATATATACTTATTTTAAAATATTTTCGTCAAAAAAATTCAAAAAACTTTAAGAATAACGATTATGACAATTGTCACTTTTCATTGGTACATCTTCACTAAATTTATATTTACACATGTTATTAATACTTATTTTAACATATTTTCGTCAAAAAAATTCAAAAAATTTTAAAAATAACGATTATAACAATTGTCACTTTTCATTGTCTTCACTAAATTTATATTTACACATGTTATTAATACTTATTTTAACATATTTTCGTCAAAAAATTCAAAAAACTTTAAAAATAACCATTATGACAATGTCAATTTTCTATGGTACATCTTCACTAAATTTTATTTAAACATGTTATCAATACTTATTTTAACATATTTTCTTCAAAAAAATTCAAAAAACTTATAAAATAACGATTATGACAATTGTCACTTTTCTATGGTACATCTTCACTAAATTTTTATTTAAACATGTTTTTAATACTTATTTTAACATATTTTCTTCAAAAAAATTCCAAAAACTTATAAAATAACGATTATGATAATTGTCACTTTTCTATGGTACATCTTCACTAAATTTTTATTTAAACATGTTTTTACTACTTATTTTAACATATTTTCTTCAAAAAAATTCAAAAAACTTTAAATATAACGATTATGACAAATGTCACTTTTCGTACATCTTCACTAAATTTATATTTACACATGTTATTAATACTTATTTTAACCTATTATCTTCACCAAATTTATATTTACACATGTTATTAATACTTATTTTAACCTATTTTCTTCAAAAAAATTCAAAAAACTTATAAAATAACGATTATGACAAATGTCACTTTTCATTGGTACATCTTCACTAAATTTATATTTACACATGTTATTAATACTTATTTTAACCTATTTTCTTCAAAAAAATTCAAAAAACATATAAAATAACGATTGTGACAATTGTCACTTTTCTATGGTACATCTTCCTAAATTTTTATTTAAACATGTTTTTAATACTTATTTTAACATATTTTCTTCAAAAAAATTCAAAAAACTTTAAAAATAACGATTATGACAATTGTCAATTTTCTATGTCACTAAATTTTTATTTAAACATATTATTAATACTTATTTTAACATATTGTCGTCAAAAAAATTCAAAAAACTTTAATAATAACGATTATGACAATTGTCACATTAAAATATTATCCTTAAAAAGATCATATAAAATCATCAAAAAAGTTTCATAAAATTCACCTCATTTAATAAAAAATAGATAATTTTAAAAAAATTATAAAAGATTTCACCTAAAAGATTGTTTATTTATCTAATAAAATTTACAATATAATTCCTCAATAAAAGATGTATTTATAAAGAAGATTGTGAAAATCACTAATAAATTATATTAAAAAGAATATTACAATTTACAATATAGCAGCATATGATTTTTTTTAAAAAAATAACATCAAATAAATAAATTTATTTTCATTTAAAATATAATAATATAAATAAAAAATATTAAATCATATCATGTTTATTTGTTGATAATAATAAAATATTTACATTAAATATAAATAAAATAAATTATTTTACTAAAATAAATAAATAATAATTAATACTAAGCATCGATGCAGAATTTTGACTAATTTAATTTTAACAGATTTATATAGGCTTAGCCGATTTTTAGGCTTAACCTAATTAGGTTTAGCCGATTTTTAGTTTTAGCCGATTTTTAGGCTTACCTAATTAGGCTTAGCCGATTTTTAGGCTTAGCCTTATTAGGCTTAGGCGTAGTTTTTAGCCGATTACGCAACACTATATACAATCATAAAATAACCAAAAACAATAAAAAATATCGGATATTTTTTGAAAGTTAAATATCGGTGCCGACCCGATATTTAATATCGTTACAGCCCTACATATCACATTTTAATAGTGAATTATTCAATGTTTAGATATAATCATTCATTCCGATATGGTATTCATTATTATTAAAAAATTATTCATTTATTTAGCATTTCGCTCCTTAGATATCAAAAAGACAATGCAAAATTCAATCAAATATTCACTCCTTATTAGATTTTGCAAGTTTAGACCCTTCAAATCTTAATTTTACGATGAGGGCTCATTTCGATTACAACAGCTATAATTTGTTTGGCCTTTCTCTCCTTTTCTACAGTCTTGCAACTCATTCTTATTGCTGATTGATGCAACAACACCATAGAGATATCCCGGGTCTAATCAACAACATACCCCTTTATTTCGCTTCCCCTGTTCAAGCCAACCCTGACGGTTTTTTTGTTCCCGCCAATTTGAAAAGGGCCGCTTTACCCGATCTTATACCTGCAAGTCACAAAAACCCGATCATGGGCCCGGGTGGTTACCCGTTTTCTTATCCCCCGGTGGATAATAAGGCAACGCTCAAATTGTCTGTCGACGAAGGCACTAGAAACACCTATCCTCTATTACAGCCTCCATTTGACCTTTCACGTCAGCTTCAAACGGCTCTACTCAAGCCAAAAGTCATGCCCTTTCCCGGAATTGCAGACAATGAGGTTTGATACTTTATCATAAATTTATTTATTAAAATCCCTGTTAAGTTGCAAAAACCTTCATAGGTCAGGTTCGGGCTTAATGTTATATTTTTAGCGGTTTTAATGGGTTTAAATTTAGCTTATTTAAAACAGTTGCATTTTTCTTCTGATAATAAAAATTTTCAGTATTGGAAACAAAATGGTTGCCGAAGTACTATGAAATATTGTTTATTTTCATTAAACAATAATAAATTTAATTTTTGGATGTGGGCTTGTTGAAAAATTTTTAGAAACTTATTATGAGCTTGGGCTGGGTTTTTAATATTTAAATACGGGCGCTAAAAATTTTTTACTGCCAACTTGGGCCCGAACTGATCAAAAAGTTGGTTTAGCTCTTTATATATTTTATTTTAATAAATTTTTATTTAAACTTATAAAATATAAAATATAAAATAAAATTATTTTTTTATAAATAAATATAAGCTCGTTCTCATTTCGCCTCAAAAATTTTACATTTTGTTTAAAAAAATTTTTTTTAATTGATCCTCTCGCCCATTGTTTTGAAAGTAAATTTAACCCGTCTCAAATCAATTGCAGACCTCTAGTATATACCTCTTAACTTTGTAGAAGATAATAATTATAAAATGGGCTAATAATCATTTTTAAGTCTTTCAACCCTAGCTCGACAATGTATATATACTGATTACTTAGAATAAAATAAGTGCGTATAATAATTTTTAATTATTTTCACGTGATATGTTTTTTTACGAAGAAGGTTTTTACCCCTCACCCCACCCCAAAAAATTAATAAAAAGATATAAATATTTTTTCATAAATATGTCAAACAATATCTTCTGAATTAAATAGATGGTCCAAAAACTGGCCCAACTTCAAAATGTCTTCAATGACCCAAAACAAACTCAACAGTATTTCCAAAATTCTGGAACCGAATATGACGACGATAAAGGCGTGGCGGATGATATTGGCCGAGGTTCTGAGGAAAGAAGGGAAAGGTTTATTTTATTTGTTATTTACTTTAAAATTTTTACTATGCCTCCAATCTTATTTGGCAAAGAATGGAATATTTTTCAATTTGTTTTAATTATGGTATTTTGATTGAGTTTTTTGCGATTATAGTTTAAATTTAAGGTATTTGTAATATTAATCTAATTTTTATTTTTGATAGATTTCTGCTTTCCCTGGCCGCTTTGCATAGGCAACAACAGCAGCAACAATTCTATCTGCAGCAACAGCAGCAACAACAACAAAGCCTACTTCTTTCCTCCCTAATGTACTCCCATACGAATCCCAATTACTTCTATCCACCCCTCTTACCACCTCATCATCCATACTTCTTCAACCCCCCAACCCGGCCACCACTCCCAGTCTCTTCACCCGCCAAAACTGACAACCCATTTCATTTGCCCCCTCACCCTTTTTTTGCCATACCTCCTTTCGCCCCGCCACTTTTTTCCTCCCCCACAGCTTCCCAATATATAATGAAGAGTCAAGACAATGAATTTACCTATAACGGTGACTGTTCTCTTATTAATAATCCTAATAGGTTTCACTTTTTAGCAAATTAATAATATTATTAATTTACTCGAATAGAAACTAAAAATATTTATGTTTCGAATTTAGAATTCAAATGGATTATTCCCCCAATCAAACTTCGTCAGCTCTCGACAAATGTCACGCTTTGGATTTATCTTTACCACAATTGAAAAACGACCAATCCATGCATCATGGCATTGATTCTTATCTGAATTATGCAAGAAAGGTATAGATAGTTATTGATCATTAATAAGGATATTTTATGTCAACAATCACTTGTCAGATTATTCCCTTTAGTTTTGGATTTAACTTGGTATGTATGTACATAACAGGAAGGGGGGGGGGGGTAAAAAATCCCCATCCATAGAAAAATTTGACATATTTCGTAAGTTTTAAGCGATAAAATTTCCCACTACATTCCTTCCGCCCCCGTCTCTTCAAAAAACGATTACAATATAATTTGTTATAAACAATATTTAAAAAAATTAAGGCTGTACCAATATTACATATATCAATCAGATTGGCGCCTATATTGAATCGACCTATATTTTTTTAAAAATCTTAACCGATACCGATTTTATGCATATTTTTATTTTTGTACACATTTTTTAATTATTTTTATACTAATTTCCCTTTCTCACAATAAAGCTTCATAACTCCCATAAAAAGGTGTCTTATAAAATAAAAATGTTTAGTGTTTTTTTACATTATGCGAATTTGAATTTGATTAATTAACAAAGATCAATATTTTATCTTTTATCGTTCCTCTTGATTATTGGAGGTTTAATGCTTAAAGGTTGCCAACTTTGGCAAACCTTGCACTTAAGTATTTGGCATACAAAAGTATTTCATCAGAATTAGTCTTTAGCACAGCTGATGATATAGATAGTATTTTTAAACGGATTGAATTGAGACAATTTTTAAAAACCTTATTTAATAGCCAATCGCTTAAACCTCGAGATTTCGTTAAAGATGTCCAAGTCTTTCTATGTTCAAAATCCTCAGGCTTGCGTGATATTTTTTAGATAAAAATTGAGTTAGTCGTTTTAAAAATCGATTCAAATCGATCCGCTTAACAACACCTAGATATTGATAGACCTCACAAGAAAAACTTATTATAACATAAAATTGAAGCTCTTATTTTTATAAAAGAAAAATATCCAATATTATTTTAATTTAATAATATTCAATTTCATTATTATATTATTTTATTAATTGATATTGATATTTAATTTGTTTTTACTTTTCTAAGGGCTATTATTTAATAAGATAAGACATTATTTACTATATATCTTATAAATAAAAACCATTCTACAAATTTACTATATATATATCATAAATAAAAACCTTTACAAATTTAAAGACATATTTTTAGAATTTTAAAGATTTGAGACTTTTCTTGATTTTTAAGAGCCGGAATAAGTAAATTTTCTGATTACACAGATATTTATTATTCTATTATCGACAAAAAAAATCAATGTAAATATCGGTATCGGATCAACCGTTGGAAATAAATATTATATCGGTAAAAATTGGATCGTTGCACTTCTAAAAAAAATAATAGGTATAGTTAGTATATTTTAAAATTATGTCTTTGAGTTAAAAAGATTCGTTTTTTAAGCAGTGTAAAAAAATTACTTAAAAAATATAATCTGATCAAAGCTTAAAATATTTCAATAAAATTTTTAAAAAAAATCCTCCACCTCTTATGAAAATTCTGAATACACCTATCCCAGTTCATAATATATCGGTTGAAATTTTAGCCTCCTAACATATATTTTTGGAGATATTAGGAGTTAAACAAGGAAACCTTATTTGAGCCGATTTTTTAAATTTTTTTAATAAAATTAACATTACTAAAACTATTCAAATTAAGTGTAACCAACGGTTATAAATAGGCAAAGCAAAAGCAATAAAAACTTAAAATTTTATTCCATATATATTGTTTTAACTTAATCGAGATATTTTATAATTTATAATGTTTCCATTTCACCTTATAAAAGAAAAGTTACAACTAATAAAAGAAAATTTTATAACAAACCAAAATAGGGTATCCTAGTTCAAAAGCTGTTTAACTTAGTCTAAACAGCATTGAGTATCGATAAGTCGAATCAGGACACAGCCTAACTACTTCGCTACTTTTAAATAAAATATAATAATTATTTATAAATACATAATTATTAAATTTGAAATCGTAATATCGAAATATTTTTAATTTAGAAATTTTATTTATCATTTTTTTTGTCTTATAAATCTATAATCAAAAATTAAAATTTTTCTGAATATGAAATGGAATTATCTTGTAATTGATGATAAAGAATCTAGGTAAGGATGTTTTATTTTTTTCTAAAATTTGAAAATAACCAAGAATAATAATTAATAAATAATAAAAAAATATTTTGGCCACTTTAGATTTTGACACTCCCCCCATTGCCTATGTCTGATGCCTCCGAAAAAGTCAGTCGACTTATTACGCCCGAATCTCAACAGGCCCAACGTTCCTTCGACCTCAGACAACAGCCTTGTACAAAGAGCCTTTCGTCATTAGATAATAAGCGGGCTAAACCTAAACAGGTTCATCAGCTACCACCCAACTTCAGATCTTCAGCTTTTTTCCCATCGAACGTTAGCTCATTTTCTTCTTCTCGCGGTTTGAAGGTTAACAATCTAATCAATCCCAGTGCAGGAATTAAAAACCCGATCAATAATGCTTTTAATTTGGGTAAGCCTAATATTTCCACTAAAAAGTTGCCGCTACCTATGGAAGAGAACAGGTTTTCGACTTACAAGAGTTCCATAATAGCCGAAATTCAAAGATTGGACAACGCTATTGACGCCTCAGAGAATAGGATATTGGCTTTAAATAAGGCAAAAGTATGTATATTTTTAGATTTTTTTGATTGGAATAGGTAGTGCTGTTAATCGACTAAGTCTAGTCGACTGGCCGAAAACTGGACACATTGAGAACTTAGTTTCTAAACTCGAGTCGTAGACTCCAGCTATGAATTCGAGGGCGAGTATTTCTTAATTACCTTTAATTAAAAAGTAATTTTTAAAAAAAAAAAAATCTGGGAAGACTTACCTAGCTAATTTTTAGGTAAAAACCACCATAGGGTAGCACAAAAAATTATGTAAACCAATTCTAATTTCAGGAATTATTATATAGATTTATTAGTTTAAAAAGAAATTAAAAACTCTTGAGATTTTTCAATATTTTTTATAAAATATCGAAATTATTATGTATACTAGCTGATAGCCCGTCAAGAATGACGGGAAAGCAGAATTTTCTCCTTTATTCAAAGATGGATGAATTGAATAAAATTCATTCTTAGGATTTGTTAAACAGGAATATATCTGATTGATGGTACCTTAACTTTACCCTTATGACAGCAATTCTTGAATCTGCCATCTGAGGGTTTTTCCAAAGAAAAATTTAGGGAATCACAACATTGGCACTTAGTGTTGAGCAAACCACAATAATGTTCTTATACCAATGATTGTTGTGCAGGACTATCTATCTAAAATAGTACTTTTATACATAAAATAAATCTGAGGCCTGCTAAAAATTATATATTTTTATATTTTTGTAATTATAACAAATCAGAGACCCGCAGGTCTGGCTTTGTTGTAAACATATAACAAGTCTATAATAATTTTTTTTAAATATTTGTGCTGGGTTATTTCTGATTCCCATTTATTATTTATCCATCATTGATTAAGAAAAATATTCTGAAACTTGACTGGCTATCAGTTATTTAAAAATAATGCAATTATTAGTGTCCATTGTTCAGTATATCCCAAAAATCAAACATCCCTTTCCTCCCTTTACCTATTTGAACTTTTTAAATATGATAAATTTTATTTAGAAATTTCCACTTTATTTGATGATAGATAAATCAGTAAAGGTAAATATCTGAATCACAGTTCTCATAAAAATGGCAGGGAATTAGAATTTTATCCTATATTTGATGATTGACCTAAATCAGAAAAATAAAGGGGTAATTTTTAAATTATCAATCAACGAAAAGGGAGAAGATTTTGATTTCACTATCATCTTTAGGGAGCAAAATGAATATAATGAAAGATAAAATAACTAGTGCTACATATCGTGAATGGTTCAAAGTTAACTGGTTTATAAAAGATATAGATACTTAATGTTTGATGAAGAAGAAATGAGCTATCTTAAAATAAAAGTTGCTTGTAAAAAATATATGATATTTCAACAAGCTTTAATTGATTTTAGTTAAATTTTTTAAATTTTTTTAGGAATAAATTTATGTGTCAAAAGTGGTAAAATATTTACCCATACAACTTATAGTAATTCTATTCTATTAAACCTTAAAATTTTCGTATCTTGAGTCTTTATACTCAGTCCAGACATAATGATATATTATCTGAGAGATCACAATTTTAATTTTTCAAAAATTTTTGATGGTAGAATCTTATTTTCTTATAAAATTTTGTATATTGTTCTTTAAATTACCAAAATCTCTCACCGAACAATGAAAATATTTATTCTAGTTATAAAACAAACTCTGAATTGTATGCTATAAAATTATGATCTCTCAGATAACAATTTTATGTCTGATTGAGTATATGGGTTCAAGACCCAAAAATTTCAAAGGCTGAATATAAATATAAGTTGAAGGCATAAATATTTTACAACTTTTGATAATTAAACCAATCCCTATAAAGAGGTCAAATAATTTAACTAAAATCAAATTAAAATTATCTGATACTTGGGACAAAACAATTAGAATTGAAAAAAATGGGCTATGGTTGAGCTTAAAAAAATTAAACCAGATTGGTTAAATTATTTTTAATTAACATATGATAAAATTCAAAATTTATTACAAACCTATATTTATTTTATTGGCACTTATAAATATATTTACAATTAATGGTTACAAATTTGTAACTTTATCATATGAAGCTTTCTTGAGTAACATTGAAATCTTTAAAAAAAGACATGCTGAATTTTACTTTTTTTCCATATATTAATTAGTTATTTTCGTAATCCACTTGTTTTTCATATATTATAGTACATTAGTTATTTTCTTAATCCCTCTAATAGTATTTCTTAAATTTATGTTATCTTAATTTTATTTCAAATATTACCATAAATAAAATTAAGGTAAATCTTATACACTCAAAATTACAAATTTTATTATCTTTCTTTTCATCATGCTAATATAACCTATTTTTTTATATATATTATAGAACATTAGTTATTTTCTTAATCTCTCTAATAAGTTTCTTAAATGTTATCTTAATTTTTTTTTATTATCATAAATAAAATTAAGGTAAATCTTATACATTCAATAAACTAATTTAAGAAAAATTATTACTTTAAAAGTATTTTGTAATGAGATATCTACTGGGTCTAACTTCTATACTTAGGAAAGTTGCTATTATTTAAAATTTAAAAATAAGGTAAGTTAAAAAAATCATTACTTTGTCTAACTCCTATACTATGGTTATTGTCACTATTTTTCGATTTATTTCTCAAAAAATTGAAACATTAAAATATTTTAAATATAGCGGGTTATTTTGTGAAAATCAATTGTCATATGTTATTAATAATCATGTGTTAGTCACGGCCTATAGGAAGATGTTTATATGTGAATTGAAAGTAAGTGAATGAGTGTTTGAATTTGGTATGATATTATCATTGGACCAAATAAGCTAGGGATGTACCGATATTTTATATCGGTCGAATCGGGCCGATATTTCGCCCATTTTAAAATATCGGTTATCGGCAAATATTTTAAAATTTTCTGATCCGATCCGATATAAAATGGCGCTTTTAACAAAATTTAAAAAAAAGTTATATCTAAAAAACCATTTATTTTTATAAATAAAATCGAAATATATTTTTATGTTTAATTTTTTTAATAGTAATAATTAGTTAATAAACATTCTGCAATATAGTTATTTTTTTTCGCATTATGTCTAAAAAAGTGTTCATCAATCTCTTCAGAATCTGTTTTTAGTGATGCTAGTGATATTAACAGTTCCTATCACCGTAGACCGATCTCCGATAAATTGGAAATTTTGGTATTTCTAAAAAGAAATCTTCGATATATTAATTTTAAATATTAGTTTCAAATTTCATAATATATTTGTTTATTACTAATTATGTAAATAGATTAATGTTATTACTTATTATATAAATAAAAACCGGTATCTTTACAGAATACAAAATTAGAAATGATATCGGATCGATTATCGGCCGATATCAATTTAATATCTGGAATATCGGATCGGATCGGCCTCCAAGAAGTGGTATCGGTACACCCCTAATAAGCTATGATGATTTGTATTGGACGAATATTTTTTTAAAGAACAATATTGGCTAAATTTGATTGAAATACAATATAAAAAAAATTTCATAAAAATGAGGGGTGGGAGTTTTACTTTTTTAAAAATTTTTATAGACAATAATTTTGTATCATAAACTTTTTATATTTGAGTTTTACAAAAGAAAGAAATAAATATTGTCTAAAAAGAACATTTTTGATAAGTTAAAAATGGAAAATAAAAAAAATAAAATATTAACTCATTATTTTATCCAGAAAAATATTACGTAAGCCTGAATATTTTTCCCATAGACGGCACAAAGGTTTTGACATCTTTTAGCGAAATCTCGAGATTAACGCAATATTATTATGGCCATAATATTGAGTTAGCCGTTTTTAAAAATCGACTCAAATCGAGCCTTTTAACAACACTAACCCTTATTATTTACCAAACCTGAACCGTAAGAAATTTGGCATCCTAAAATCTAAAAATACCTGTCAACCGGTTTGAACATTTTTATATTTAACACTTTTATAGATGATTAATGATAAGTTTTGCCTGAAAAGTATCACTATATTTTGAGATATTTTTCTTTATCGCCATTTGACGGTACCAGTGCTAGATACCCGAGTTAGCATATATAAGTGTTTTCAGTCCTAAAAATTTTTTCTTTCTCCTTATAGATATAATTTAACAGAGGAGTATCTTGAAAATATTTTAATTGCATACGGCTCAATATAATTTTTAATGATAAAATTTAAAAAATATTTATTTTTTTACATAATTCTAGTGTGCTTGTATGCGAAAAGTTTTGAACTAGGTTTTAAAAGTTCAAACCTAACCAATATTATTATTTTTACGAACCTGAACAATGGACCTTTATTTTTAACCTAACCGATATTCGTTATGGGTTGGATCCCTGGTTTGATAAATTTTTTTCAAAACCCCTCATTTAAGTAGAAAATATAAAAATTACAATCTTGCCCACTTAATATTAGTAAAAATACTCATTAATTTTTAATAAAATAAAAGTTATTGGACTTTTATTTTATATGCTTATCTAGAGTCAAGCAACAACGATTTATATAATAAACATCTTTTGGGGTTAAGTGGTTATGCGTAAACGGTTAAAATGTTTTTTCTGATAAATGCCGTAAAAAAGTGATTCTAAGTCATTAATGTCTATTCCATATAAAAACAAAAAAAATTTAAATGTAATAATTTGATAATTTATTTAGTGTTATTGAACGGGATCTATTTGAACTTGTTTTTAAAGACGGCTAACTCAATGTCTTGATGAGAAAAATATTATGCAAGCCTAAAGATTTTGCTCATGTTTGGACATCTATTAGCGAAATCTCGATGCTTAGGCAACATTTTTCTTGCCAAAATATCACTAGTTTGAACCTATATATTTATTTCCATTTTTTATAGGGTAAAGTAAAAATAAATAATATCTGTAGATTTGTAAAGCAAAATGATTGATTAAATAAAGGATTCTAAATCTAAATTGTAAGATGATTATTTGATTTGATTTTAATGCTGAATAAACTACTATAGTTTCACAATAAAATCAAGGTTTTTACCGAAAAGACGCGGTTATACAGAAAACATGGGGGTTTTTACCGAAAAATTAGCTAAGCGCTTCTTCCCAGATTCTTAATTTTATTTATTTCTAAAAAACGAAAAAAATTATTAATTATTATTTAATTTAAAACTCGATAGACATATTTTTGCCGAAGTTATGACAGCACATTACACTCAGAATACAGAAGGTTATTTGGAAGGTACCTTGACCTTTATGGCCTAAACCACTATATTTATATACCTTGATTATGCAGAAGGAAATGAATAATTTGTAAATATTATCAAAAAATCTATTCAGGTTGAAATGTCGGAAGAAATTAATTCTCGATTTGCAAAATTGTCTCGATCAACCGTACATAGATCTTTGGGAGTCAAGGAAACCAGTCTTCAAGAAATGAGAACGGAATCGCTAATTATTAATGGATATAGTTTAATTCAAGGGGTTCTTTCCGATAATCAGGTATTAAAGAATTACGCCCCCCCCCATTTAAACTACATATCGCGCAATTAATTTTCTTAAAATTGTCAAGTTTGAGTTATGATGATAATATCCTCTTGCGCTTTATTTTTCAAATAAAAATAATTTTTTAAGATTTTGGCCCCCTCATTAGCGTTATAAAAATTTTAAACAAGGTCTCAGATTCTCTTTTATGCATTGACTAAATGCACCCCAAAGTTCTATTACTAAATTTATAAATATTTACATAAATCCTCGAAATTTGAATTTAGATATAAGGTCTGTAGGTCTGCAACGGATTGATTAAAAAATTCAAACATTTGGCAAGCTGGTATATGTTAAATATGCGGGAAAATGAGCAGAATGGGAAATTTATCAAGAAATATATTTTTATTTCATTATGCATTTAAAAGTTTAAGTAAAAATAAATTTAAATAAAATAAATAAAGAGTCAAACTTAGAGGTGGGCGCGGGCCTAATTTTTCATTCACGGCCCTCCCGCTCACGGTGGTAATAAAAAAATATCACGCTAATTCACGCTTAGCACTAAAAAATTTTTGACCCGACCCGCCAGCTCACGACAATATTTTGATTCACGCCCGAAAATTCACGGTGTTTCTAAATTTTTCAAAACTATTGCTTATCTATAAATCGAAATTTATTTCGAAAAAGAAGAATGCCCATCTTTTTTTATTTCAATTGTGTAAGCCTTTCCTCTAGTAAGAGATTGGCTAAAGAAAATAACCTTTCACTAGAAGCCTAATTTGCAGCTGACAAAATTTTACTCGATAATTTTCTCAAAAAAGGAAATGAATATTCCTGCTTCCAAAACTTTAAAATATTGTCTTGCTATTTATCTTATATTCATCTTTTAAGTTCATCCTCACAGCTTTCATCGGTGATGTTGATGCTTCATCAGAATTATCTAGAAATATACGGTCTTTTATGAGTGTAGGAGGGATTAGGAAAGTGATATTTGGTATTGATCATTTAAAATATACGGTTTTTTATAAGTTTAGGATAAGTTAGGAAAGTTATAAATGGTAGTTGGCATCGACTTATGCATATCATCTAATTTTATATCATTTAGCATTTTTAAGATTGTTTTATATATATCATTTTCTTCTTTTATTAAAAACTTAAGTCTTTTGAAATTCGGATCTAGAATTAAACCTACTATAGTGGCTGCATAATAATCTTTTAAATGAAATCTTGTTCTGTATTTTAAGGTTTTGATTATTATTGTATCACGTTCAGAAGGTTAACGAAATTTTATTAATTTTTGTTTCCATAGACAAACTTTATTTATTGTTACGAGAATCTGCTCTCAGATTATCCGAGCATTCTTTAAATATTGATAAAAATTTATCTAACTCGCGTATGATGCCGATATCAATTGTGGCTAATCTATTTAATTCTTGCTTGCTAAATAAGTACACCTGTATTTCAGAATATGATTTTAAGAAACTCTGTATCATGATATATACAGAGTTCCATCTCGTTATTCTCGCTATTACATATTGTTTAAGGGTGTGGCTTAGTTTGCTATTAGCTATGTTTGAAATATTTTACTATTTTTTTTACACCATTTATATTTAAGGCTATTTAAACAATTGTCAAAAATATAATGCATAATATTATTTAGTATATGGCATATGCTAGCGTTTCGTCATCTTTGAATGCATTTATAAGATTTCTCCGTTATCACTCACAACTAGTGTTGTTAAACGGCTCGTTTTGAGCCGATTTTTAAAAACGGCTAACTCAATATTCCACCCAAAATAATATTACGCAAGCCTGAAGATTTTGCTTGTAGAATGAACAAAGGTTTGGACATCTATCAACGAAATCTCAGGGCTTAGGCAACATTTTTCTGGCTAAAATATTGAGTTAGCCGTTTTTAAAAATCGGCTCAAAACGAGTCGTTTAACAACACTACTCACAACTATACATTTATTTAAGTAATTTTCTACTTCTGTATATTCTCCTAAAATTGAATTGCACTTTTAATTTTGACGTTTTTTTCATCCATTGCCCTTGTGGCCAAAACAAATGTTTTTAATTAAAATCCTGATAATATGTCCTATAATGGTTAAAAAACTTAGATTTTTATAGTCATCCGTCCAAATATCACTGATTATGGACATTGATCATGCTTTTAATCTTAAATTTTATTTCATGGTATATTTTTGGACCTATAGTATTCATGAGAGTTTTCCGGTTCACAACTTTTATATTTTGTTATTCAAACACCAACATTTATCTCTTGGCCTAGCTTGTAAAATCCTTCACTTTCTGTTGCATTTAAAGATTGAAGATATTTACAAATAAAATATAACTGACTTTTCTGTAAAAAGTTTAAGCAAAATTTAGCATAAAGTCTCGCGATAAAAAAACACCTAAACATAAAAAGAAAAAAGAACTAACAAAATAATACCGGATGTTGTTTATAAAATGCGGAAGATTTTTAGTTTTCATAAATTATTCTTTTTTAAAAATAACTAAATTAAATAAGAAAATATATAATATTATTATTAAAATTGCAAATTTATATTTATAAAAAACAATTATAAAAATTAAAATTTCCGTGATTCACGGGAAATTTATGTTCACGCCCGATCACGCCCGCGGAAAATTTTGGGAAGGCCCATCACGCCTTGGAATTTAAAATTTATTCACACTCACGCCGTGACACGATGGGTCACGCCTAATTTCACGGCCCGCACCCACCTCTAGTCAAACTAACCAATTAAGTATTTTTTTTAACATTTGCCAGCGTTGGCCAAATAAAATATAAATAAATGGGCGGGATGATTTGAACCGTGGATCTACTGGTTGAAACGTTTTAAATCAATTGGCGGCGGATGGGATAAAATCAATCCATGTTAGATGGAGTTCTTCAAAACTCGACCTAGCTTGAAAACTCAATTGGTAGATGCAAAACCCAACCGGGTTGGGAAATCCTGATTATTTTTTATTTCGGTTGGGTCGGTTTGACAAAATCTTAGGTGGGTTGAAAATGTTGCTACAATATATAATTTAATCCATGTAGTGTTGTTAAACTGCTCGATTTGAGCCTATTTTAAAAATATTACGCAAGCCTGAAAATTTTGATCATAGATGGCATAGGACATCTATTAGCAAAATCTCGACACTTGATTGTATATTATTTTGTTGGGTAAGAATGAGAAAAAACATTTCTTACCACCCGTCGGGTTTTGCCAAAAAATTTGTCTTTAGCAGGTTTCTTGTTATAGACTTCTAAACTGCTTACCTTTCATTTTTTTCATACATTTGTCACCTTTATTATAACAATTTTTATGACTCTTTCTCCGCCCTCCTTCCTTTTCAAATAATAATAGTTATTTTTTCTTAACCTCGTTTTAAAGAAACTTTCCCAAGATCGTCACGACAAAATATCTTCCTATCACTTATCCCCGTCATCTTCTACTAGTGATGGAGAATCTAAGACCAATCATACTTCCCTCACTCCTTTGACCAATTTGAATGCTATAGGCCCGCGATTTGAATCCAAGTCAATATATTCTATTTTATTTCAATTAATATAATTATTTTGATTATCTTTTTACAGGAATCCATTAGTTAAAAAAATGATCGGCCAATATTTGACTAAAAAGCGTCAAGATGACTATATGCAGGTTTTTATTAAATTCTTACTATTTTTTTGTCTTATAAAGAGCGAAAAAAAAGTTAAATATGTTAGATAACCTCCCCACCACATTATTTTATATACTATGTTTTTTTTAAATTACTCACCCAATATTTGAGATAAAAAAAAGTGTTTTTACATCTAAAAAGCAATTTTTTATAAAAATATTTTTACATTCCTACCTAACATTAACGCTAAGTCTTTGAAGTACGACGAGACGTATCAAGAAAAATGGGACGCTTGGAACGAATCGATCACAAAATTTAAGAAGATCGCCAAGAGAAGGTTACTTTTATAATTTTAATCAGTATGGGGGTTTTATTGTTTTGAAATGGATTTCATTTATTTATGTAATGACATTTTTTTCAACATTTTTTTTGATTAAAAAAACGTACATCAATCAGAAATAAAGATTCCAAGGCTAGAGAATTTTTCGAAAATCAATACCCAGAACTGAGAGACGACAGGCTGGAAAAGGAGAGACTCAATAGGTCATTTTCGTTATTTCCTAAAGTTTTAACTGAGGATTGGGACCGAAACCGAACCCCAAAAATCCTAAGAAACCAAAACCGGTTTAACATTTATTCGATTCTGATTTTTCTCTAATTATAGTTTCTTTGTAGCTATTGCTATTCTCTAACTGATTTTGTATGTAGGAGAATAGCTCCTACATACACCTTTATTTATCTTTTTAAAATTATCTAAAAGAATAGAGTAAATATTAAATAGCATAGATAGACCAATCTTTAGGATCGAATAGAAATAATACTAATTATAGTAGCATTAATGGTATAAAATACTTACATAGATTGACGATTCATTTATAAAATGTATTTTGAAGCGTCGTTGAATACAAATCATCTGGTGACAACGATACACCTTTATTGATATTTTATATGTTTATAAATAAATGAAACTGATTTTTTAAAGTTTTCATAAAATTTTAATGTAAATTATTTATCAGGAAATAAAATGGTGTGTCACCAGCCATAATCTATGATTTTTCTAAGAGGGAGAGAAGCACTACTAGGTTGGGTTTTCCCCGATAAATTTTATTGGAGGTCTTTAGATCCACTTATTGTAGGCCTTTGGCTATATTAGATTTTTATAAAAATAATTTTGGGCTTTCACTTTTTTTTATAGAATTGAATTATATTCGTCATTTTAAAAAATTATAACTTAGTTTTATTTTAAATTTTTCTTTATAATGATAAAATTTATACATTTTGGAAGAAAGAGAGGGGGGATTTTTTTTTTATAAGCTAATGATATTTATAATGGGAGTACGCGCCTGTCACCAACTGATTTATATTAATACACATTTAAATGAATGAAGCGCGAGACTAGTTGGCTAAATTATCTGTCATTGAGTAACATAAGGCACTAAGTACTATTCAATTCTTGATTGTTTAAAATTATTTTAGTTTTTTTAAGTATCACTAACCATTTTTAAAGCATAATATATGGGTGTATTCATTGGTAGGTGAAAAAATGATAAGGTAGGATAGATCGCACACCCCATTTTAAATGCTCTGTATATCTCATTCATATGTTTATGTTTTAATTTGATATTTTATTTAATTTAACGATAATTGCATATATAAAAATTATAAATTTTTATAAAGAAAAATGGTTAAAAAAATTGCTATAATTAATAGCTTAATTATAAAAAATTTAAAAAAAATCAATCTATAATAAAATATATAAAGTCTTTACTTTACAAATAAAATATTCACAATATTTTTTCTTCCTGAACCAGATATGTCATGTTATTTTACTAAGATTACGTGGCTCCTCTCAATTTCTTTTACACTTTCTGTAAAAAATTTCTCATATAACTTTCAAACATTTGCTTAGTCATGGGGGGGGGGCAAAATATATAAGGTTCAAGAATTATTTAATATCCAAAAATACCTTAACTAAATAATATTTTAATATAAAGTAAGTTTAATATGATTAAATTCCTGTTGCGAAAGGATACTATATTGCTATAGAATTTATAACAATTATTTAGTATAAAGTTATTTTTTTTATTAAACTCATTGATAATAATCATCTAAATTATAATTATATATTTTTGATACCTGTTTTTATTATTTTTATCTAAAGTATGGTTTTAAAATAATAATTAAAAATAAGGTAGCACATACGTAACATTTTGATGTTTATAATTTTGTAAAAATATTACTATTAGATCTAATCATAATAATATATGGTTTATATTTTGTTACATTTTATAAATATAAAATATAACAGTAATACTAGTTACCCAAAGTTTTATTAAATATTATGACTACCATAAAAAAGGCGCAAAGGTAAGGATAGAATTTTTCTATTTTATCATTTTTATTTATTGCCCCAAAATTTCAAAACAAACTCATATTTATACTATAGGTTTTTATTTTATACTTTTATAATCAATATTTAAAAAAATTATTTTGGGTAATATTTTAGCCTGTTAAATATCTGAATATGGTCAGCTGAGAGGGGTAAATGTCATATATTCAGATACATTTAGAGCATACTCTAAACTTATTTAATTGAAAATCACATTAAATTTAGTTAATCATTTAACTATAATTTTTTACTGTTTCTGATGTCATATCTAACAATTGGTATCAAATAATTTATGCCTGTGCTTTTATGTTTAATTTAAATATCACATTAAATATATCTTTTAATATAAGCTCCGTGAAGTTGGCCGAATGATTGCAAGCACTAACAATGAATCATAGCCATTTTAGTGCTTCAAACCGTTTTATAGCCAAAGTTAAGGAAAATATTATTTTCATGGTAATCGATTTCATGGAATCCAAAGAAATTTTCCAAATCCTTACAAGGTTCCCGTGAACTAGTTGTAGCTATTTTTCCGTCGGGTATTTGTTTCCTTAAAAAATTAATTAATCTGGCTTTTAGTTCCATATTTTTTGGATCTTTTATCCATTCCCAATTTATATATCTATAAAATGAATATTAATATGACTTACAAGATTTTTCAAAAAATTTTTAATATAAAAAGGAAAAACTGATGTTTAATGTTTCAAATGATTAGATGACAAATCAATATAAAACTCGGCTCAACATTTAATAATGAATAAATTTAAATAAAATAAAATTTTATTTTCATTAAATTTTAATTAACAAATATTATTAATATTTAAAAAATAATATAATTTATATATTAAATTTAAACTAAAAGGAGCTACTCCCGCTCCTCATTTTTAAAAAGGAGGGGCGCTCCAGCTTTTTTTGAAAAACGGAGCGCCGCTCCTTAACAAGACTGCATTTTATTTTAATTTTTAATTTTCCCTAAATTCAACCTACCTAATTATTGCATATAATGAATATACTTTAAAGCCTCTAATCAAAATACTAAAAAAATAAAAATTTTATATTTAGACCCTCTTTTATTTGATATACCAACTATCACCTATTGTTGGGCAGCATGCCCGAGTAGGTTAATGTTGGGCCAAATAAAATTTCAAATGATGTTTTCTAAAAAATAGTTTCTATAAAATATAAGAACTATTTAAGATAGCCTATACTTTGAGGGTTCATAACTGGGTTGGGTATTTTACCGGTCAAATAGGTCAGTCAATTGATCTTATTTCATCTGTTTGCCAACCTTGGTTAAGAATTTGTTTTATTTATTTAAATTAGTTTAATATTATTGAATTTATTCAGGTTTGAACGAAAAGTATTTCAACCTCCCCGGTCCCCCTATCAGTTTTTAAATTTTAATATCTTGTTAACATCTCCGGTCTTCAATTCTTATTTTAGATTTTTTTAGATGCAACGAATTTGTCTCATTTTAAATATATACTTCTTGATTTCTGAGAAATTCAAAAATTATGAGAATCATTTCTTATTTTGTTTACGAATCAAATGTTGAGTTCTGAGAAATTGAGAAATTATGAGAATCATTTTTTAATTTATTTACGAATCAAATTAATTTTTCACTGAAAATATAAAATGAAATATTTTTTTATAATAAAATTATAATGTCATTCACAATTTGAATTAGTGTAGTTCAAAAAAAAAATATTTAAAATTTGAATGTCATTACCAAAACAAAAACAAGTAAAAAACAGAAAAACAATTTGAATTTTGAATTTCATTATCAAAACAAAACAATTATAAATAAAAAAACAATTACAACTACTTAACATTTCACTTTTTTTTAAGTTTCGCCAACTGTCTATCATCTTATCGTTTGTCTTGCTTACCAGTTTTTTCATCATTTAATGTTCGTTTATCCTTTGTTGGTCTTGATAGTTATCGTTAGTCATCACTAGTATATTTCGTTAGTTTTCATACACAAAAAAATCTTGTTTATATAGTATAAGCTATTGAAAGTTTATTTTAAATTTAAAAATTCTTTATAATAAAAAAAATATTTTGTTATTTATTATATATTTTTTTAAAATCTTTTTATATTCATTATGAAATTTTTTAGGCAACATAATATTTCTGATTGGTCTTTTACTGTTAAGACTCTGATCTTGAACTTGTATACTTTGATTTCGTACTGGTTCATCATCACTTCTTCCCCTTCTAATATTTAGAGTAAAAGTTTTATATTATTAACATTTGTTTTCAAATCTGCTGTACCATTATTTAGAGGTATAATATTCGTTGACCTTTTTTTATCTGGTCTAAATGCCTTATTATGACTTTGTTTCCAGTATCTATTTCATATAATAAATTCCCATCTTTACATGTTATCGTACCTTTGTCCCAAATGTTTTCCTTGAAAGTTTTATACCAAACTTTGTCACCCATCACGATATTTCTATTTGATGATAGATATATTTCGATTTAATTCATTTTATCAATACTAGTTTCTTTAACTATTTTTTTTATTGGTATGTCCTATAATTTATCATCAATTATTTCACCATCTATCTTTTGTACCATCTCTTCTGTGTTTGTTTGTGGAATTACTTCTTGTATAGTATTATCATAATCTTCCTCGATTAGATTCACTAATTTATCTAATAGTCCTTCCCAAAAGTGCAATCTTGTCACTTTGGACCACATAAGCATTTAAGATTTGGGTTTTGTCGTAAAATTTTGCCTTGACTTGGACAGTACCTAACACTTTTATCAATTTTCTATCGTATCCAGTTAATTTAGTATCCGGGTTATTTAAGATTTTTATTCCAATCTTTCTTGCAATAATCAGTAGGATGCTGAATCTAGAATCGGTATCTATTTGCATCAATATAGGCACGCCATTCAAATATACTGTAACTTTATATGCATCATTAGCTGTGTTATCATTATCGGCATACATATTGTTTATGCCAAATTATATAAATTATATTCTTTTTTTCTCTATACTACCATTATCGATTCTTTTATCTCTTCTATATTTACAGTGTTTACTTTGTTTGTGTATCGTGATTGATTATTATCTTTGTTATGATATCTACAATTACATACTTGATTTCTTCCTTGATTTCCGATATTATGATTATTGTTATATCTTTGAATAAATCTTGAATCGTTATAATGTCTGTTATATCTGTAAATGTAATCATTATTTAATCTATGGTTGTTATAGTTATTA